GATAATTCATGGTGCCCGAACATCGGTGGCTTACTCTAAGTAGTTGTGGTGTCTGTCTGTCTGTCATTCATTCTGTACAACTGAAATTTGTTTTTAATAAACAATAACTTTAGCACAGCATGTTTCAAGCTCCTAGATCTTTCTTTTTGGCGTGGAAAAGTCTTTCTTAACTGTTTTGTGTTGCTCAAATACAAGTGCTAGGTATAGAAGCTTCAAAGTAAGAGAATCGAGCAGTTGGGCCAAGTTCCGTTGTGTTGGCACTTTAGAGATAGATGGTAGCATTTTTCAGTAGATTAGAACATGGTCTTCAAATAATATGAACAGATTTCTCTAAATCTTACTTGATGAAGAGTTATACTTACTTGAATTTGTTGAGGTCACTCGTTTGTGCAGCGCTAGAGTAACAACTTGGTGGGTTATAGGTACTAAAGTACCTATACTATCTCAAATATACAAAGGCAGCAACTTTTTTTTGTCAGCAAGTTTATCATATATTGCTGATTAGTAAAGAAAAAGTGAAGCTTCTTTCTCACATGGTCTTCTTGCTGCCAATCATGCCAGTATGATGGAATGCCACACCTTCAATCTACATGCATGGGAGGGGCTGGAGCTGCTTGCATGTATCATAGATATTAGAGTATATTATGTACTCTAATATCTATGCATGTATGTGCTGTAGTGCTGCTACTTCTGCAGGTATTCAAGAGCAAGTGCAACTGCAGGAAGCTAGTGTTGAGCAGACTGTCTTCATGCTGATAATCAAACAGCTATTGCAGTGCGGGCATGCTATATAGCAGCTATAGGGGCGAGGCCATGCACCGTAGGTGTCTCGTTTTCTTCTTTATCTTACAACAGTTGTTCATTAACAGTAATTAAATGTAAATATCACAATTCTTTTTGCTATAATAATTATTACAATAACTCATCTAGACAGAGAATAATTAATATGCTTTTACATTACTGTTATCAAGAGTAGCTGCTATTATCACTGTTTATAAAAAATTATACATTTGCCAAGAACTATTATAGATCTAATTGTTTTTAGACTTTTTCTTTTTCTTTGATTTGTGTGGACATTCAGCTATAATGATTTTAAAATAAAGATTTTTAACACATTTTATCTAAGTTAGGACTTACCTAGAAATAGAGATACAGGATCATCTTTAGTCTGAGACACAAGAGAAGAAACAATTTCATCATTTTGAAGGAGTGGAAGAAAAACTGAAGTGAACTCGGTAGAATATGGTGGACCTATAATACTCAATACCTATATGAATTTACTATCATGCAAATGCCTCTATCTTTAACTTTACCTCTGAGACAAAGTACCTGATGAGTGAATGGTCTAATGTACCAGATATCATGCATTTGTGTATGTATGATACTACTGGTATGACATGATCACAGCTTAGTAGGTGTATCATGTGATCAAGGAATGTTCTTTTTAGCTCCTATAAATATAAACAAATATAATTGCAACTACACATCAAAAATGATACACAATCTTCCATTTGACAAAAACAATAGTGATTACCTGCATCTGTACTTCAAGGGAAGGATAAGAAGCTTCCAATAGTCTTTGTAGCAATGACATTATGTATGTGTGTTGTAATGGATGACACGAGGCAATCTTTAAGAAAAGAAGTAAATATTTACATTACAAAAAATTTTTTTGATTAAATGTACATGTGTACATGTACATGTACATGCTAGTATCTGGTTATGTACCATGTACATGCACAATCAATTTATAGCAACGCTACATTTACTACAGTGATACATGGCCAGAGTTCCTAACCACACGTATGCTTATAA